TGCTCAGCTGTGGACTGCTTTATTCACAGAATCTGAGCTGTTACTACTGTGGGTCGCAGAATGACTATGAGTATCGAGTCATCTGAGAAGGTATATAGATCCCATCCATAGCAAACCGTACAGGGACTTGACAGAACAGTTTTCGTCGAAATCAAAGCACGCAGCACAAAACAGCCTCAGATTAGCCAAGTATAACCCACCCACAGGAACAAGCAGCATAGGTATACTGCCAGGGTGGCTGCCAAGTTAGCCAGGAAAACGGAGTTTCATCATACGGGGGTATATTTGACCAAGAGCTTTAGCTGCTTATTCGCTTTGCACTAGGACCCAACTCAAACTGCCTGTTCAAGTTACCAAGAGCACAGTCCTGCACCTGTGATCAGTCACTGCAGTTGTCTGGCTGCAGCAGGACTCTGTTGACATACAAACTCATCTGTCACCAGAGAACAACAACTGCTGCAGCCAATATACACGTCCAACTATGATAGGGAGTGTTTGGGTATCTTTATTGAGAAGACACACTGTGCATATGCACCTAAGGCTTAGCCTGTTTTCAAGCACTGAAGAAGAGAGCATGAGAAAAACAGGAAAATTTTCAAAGCATTTCAATTATGATACTTGTATAAACCTGGAGAATTTAAGTAATTCTTGATAGCTATCAGGATAGCTATCCTGTATATATACATATCCGCCTAAAAACTGTTAGAAAATTAAAATAAATGGTCTGCAACAGCTGTTATTAAATTTAGGGTCTTTCAATGTTTTACTGTCAATGTTTTACATCTTTCAATAAAAAACCAGGGACCTGAGAACAAATCTGTCATTAAAAACTGAGATGAGAAAAATCACCATCAATTACAAATTTGTGATAATAATTCATAAAATTCAAAATATTTCATAAAATAGAATTTTCATATTTCAGACCTTAAAATTTTAATTTCCTGGAAGTATGTTCCTATTTATACTTCAGTCAGATGAGTAATCAAAAATCCAGTACTGTATAAGTGGAGTATTCATTCTTTGACAACTGCATGATACCTGAAAAACAGCATTCCTTCAAACATGCTTGTCTTGAAAAAAATTAGTGTATACGTTTAAAATTGTATTAAATGAGCCTCATAAATCCTGCAATGCTGAATGTTTGGTGAATACAAAATTACAGCAATTTGACCTTTCTTGAGGCTTTCAAATTTACCATACATTTGGGAAATCAGCCTCTTTTGCCCATAAACAAATAGTCAAGGCAAAATATGTTCTGATAAAAGCAACTAGCTTCAAATAAAATTATGTCAACATTGTCCCTATGTATAGACTGCTGGGACCAGGAGAGCATTTTTCAACAAAAATGTGCCATGAGATTTGTTGTAATTAAATTTTATTTCATAAGAGAAGGAAGAAAATAACTTGAAAATAACCCATGCAATGCAATTCTTGGACTGCTTGTTCAATCCACATGCACCATTATATGGATTTATTCATTTGTCATAGGCAACCAGATTAATCGAGGAAATAGTTGAGAAGGGAATGGTGAGCAGAATACAGCAGCAACATCACCTCACAATTCCTTAAATCACTTATAGAAAATTTCCATCTCAAATGAAGTGAAACTAAAGGCACAAAAATTGAACAAAATATTGAACAAGATTTCCTAATTGCTATTAAGAAACCTGAGCATCAAATCTGCTTGCTAAAACGCAATCAACAATCATGTACTTTCCATGTCTTATTGATCACGGCTTCTAGTCACGGCTGGAGTTCTGGACTCATGTTACAGAGGGTATTAAAATATGTTACAGAGGGTATTAAAATAGTGAACAACAATTTAAATAAAATTGAAATTATTTGCTTTACCCATATTATGTCTCCTATGTTTTACATAATTGTTGAAAGAAAATTGCAACTTCAGTAATTTATGTAAAATTTCAGAAAATGCATGCTGTATGTACTGTAATAAACTCTGACCTGTCAAGGGTGGAATTAGTGGATTGTCACACGTTTTGTGAAGTTTAAACATTTGGTAGTGCAGTCATAATATTGAATGAATAAAGTATAACACTTTCTGCCTGCCCTGATAATGTTGATGTGTTCTGCTAGGCTTGGTTGCGCCCAGAGGACCAGTCATTATTTCACAATCCTGTTGCCAATAAAAGGAGGGAAAATACTGTACTACCTTGCGTTGGAAGTAAAGTCCGTTGTCGAAAAACTACAACAAATACTCGAAAGCTTGCTCCGTCATCAGAAAATATCACGAACAACTGTTTCCCCCAAAAAAATGCGGACCGAAGAAATTTCAGAAGCACACTGATATCCTTGTAAGACATTAACTCCGCAGAAATATTACGAATTCTGCGCAAGGAAAAACCACTGCCAACAACTTCTAGAAGTAGCAATTTAGAATGTAATTATAACGCTTTGACTTCATACTCGATGTAGTGACAAAATATTCTGATGAAAGAATTACATCGAAGAATACATTATGTTGCTTGTTATGTAGGCGCTGTTTCCAGTCGATCAACAATTCGGTCGAAAAAAAATGCAGTTCTCCTGGGATTCATTTTTTCCATTATTGACCAAGCAAAAATAATCCTCTAAAGAGCCCCACAAAAGGATAAAAAAGGGGGGTGGAAATCAGAAGATGCAAAACAATTTCCGATTGCCCTGATGCGAAAATCTTCATCAAACTGAAATAAGTTCACTCACTGATGTCGTGCAGCTTCCCGTGGATGGTTAGCTGGAGCATTCAGAGGACGACAAAACAGCTAAGAAAAAAGTCCATTATCTAATTCCTGGGAACCATCTTCAAACGCAGTGCCTGACACTCATCTTCAAGTTCCTTATTTTTCTTCTCTAGCGTGACGCACCACGCCCTACATTCAACAAGAAAAGCGTAAATTTCCAATGCATCATCTAAATATTTTAAATAAAACTGTCGAACTTTTCATAATGATGGTACAGTAATTGATACTCGGATCTAGATTTAGAATTTTCATCCGATCCGGGTTATTGACCAAAGAATTTCCACAAACCGAAGAATTTGAAACCTACATCCAGGCCTTGAGGTCAGCCTTTTCTTCATTTTGTTGCACAGCTCCCGAGACTGCCTGGCCCCCGGGCAGTAGAAACTCGACCAGAACTACGCCGAGTAGAGCTGTCTTCAGTTTCGACCAACAAACGCTGCGAAGTTCTTCCGGATAATCGGGTCATGCACTGTAGACATGTCCCTGCTAGTCGCCTGGAACAGCATTACAAAATTTTTCACAAAAGCCGTCAAAGCCAGAAAATGACACAATTCGCCAAAAATATATGAATAACTTCGCAAACAGAACGCCGAAACATTGAAAATCGAGAAATGGATAGGACAGTACATGTAATTGAATGGATTAATTCAAGTCCGGGACTCCGGGTAAGTTCCTTCATAAAAAAAATAAAAATTACATTGAAGTTCAGGCAAAACTTTCATAAAAAAATAACTGGAATACAGGATGACTCTACTTTTTTAATATTGTCTAAAAAGTTCTTATTCGCTGAACAATTTTCTTCGGGTCCCAAAGAATTCCCTTCACAGCGATCTTTCTTTCTGGTCCCCTCAATTTTGTTGCAGGAAGAGTTCATCTCTACTGTTAATTAAATTCAAATTCCAGGAAGACGGAGACTGCTTTCAACAGTCCCCAAATACGCACGGTGATACGATTTTCTCAGCAAATTTCTATTTCTGGTTCCTTGAATTTCGTTGCAGAGAGAAGTCTAACTGTGCAATACTGTACTCCAAATACAAAAAAATCAGGGTTCATAGGATGTAAATTCACTTTTCTGGACCAATATGTGTCAATAATGCAGTCCTCGCTCAACGCCGAATACTGTATACATCAACAGTTATGAAGGACCCAAATTGAATAAGGACTCACTCTTGAAGCCATCGCATGATGCAGTCCATCAAATGGAACACATGTCGTCGGCATCCAACGGCACACACCGGACGTTTACCCGTGTCGCGCAATCCTAAAGTCAATGAGACATAGCACACAGCGCACAGATCGCAGCCATTATTAACGTCCGAAAATCAAGTGGAAAAATTCTGAAATGTAAGAGACGAAATAAGCTGAAATGAACCACAATTACAAATTAGACGCGGTGATTAGAAACCAAAAATTACTCGATTATAAAATTGGAACACTGAAAAAATACACTAGTTCACCCATTGACCGACTGATTTGAATTCGGCCCACCAAAAGCAGGCCTGGGCACAGACGGAAGGGGATAATAGTTTTTGATACTCTCTAATTCTGACAGTCTCCGTTTGGAGTGATCTAGACGCTGTCCGGCCATGAGTAAGGATTTCTCGGCTGCATAACTAGAGCCTTCATGTGGCTGTCCCGTGGATACTTGTATCAAGTAATTTATGTGCTTTGTTAACTCTGTTTCCACACTGCTCAGGGTATTCAGGAACTGCGTTTTGTGCTGGTCGACCTGCTTCTGGCTCGGCTTGTCCTTGCTGATTTCCGCCAACGCATGAGATGCTGAAGTGAGGACTTGCGCTATGTCTTCTTCAATCTCATCCAGAGCTTTCAGACGTTCCAACGGCATGGAAGCCATTCCCACCAGCTTTGATCAGAACCGCTCTACAAAAAAAATTTCAGGGAAATATCTTTAAATAATTGCACAGTACAGTTACGAAGATTCTACTTCGTTCACTCATGGCTTCACAGAACTGTAGTACTGTACAATGCTAATACTGCTCTCTAGCGCAGAGACTACCTCGAATTTCCCTTCGAAAGCCGAAAAAATTTCTTCTACGCAACGCATAGAAGAAACTATAATCCCGCCGAACAACAAAAAATTAAAGCATAACGAACCTGTGACGTACTTTTTCAACTGATCTATGCTAGCTGATACGTTCACGTTGTGTAATAATCACAGCATCCAAGTAACGCCGAAATAGACTAACTAAAACCGGAGTTCTTACCAGATTAAAAAGACTCAAATCGGCAAACCCTCACAAAAACTTGAAATTTCTCGTATCAAAAATAATATAAGATGAATAATTGACTAAAAGGGGTTCCACTACAGTTTAATGCAGCACATGAAAAATGAAGGAAGCATAAAACGAAAAAGGAAACTCACCCTAACTCCAGGACAAGAAACACTGTTGAATCACTCCCACTTTATTTCGTGCCTGCTTCAAAAAACACAAGGTAAGACAGAAGCCACGTAGTTTCCAACAGAAAAGAGTCGATACGATCTCCCCCCGCTTTTTTCTTTTTATTACACTTTCCAAGTTTCTGATTTTTTTTATCTGTTTTCTTGAATCTTGTAAATTTTTATGCTTTTTCAATTTTTTTCACGCAGGCGTCTAAACCATGAAAGTATGCGAGGACGCATTGGAATGCACCTTACAAACGAATCCAACACTCAAATATAAAAAAAAGCACTTCGGCATCGTCTCGATTTCAACGACATTTCCAACAATCCGCAAAAGGATAGAGACGCGTTGAACTCGTCACCGCTCGACCTTCAATCTTGAACTAGCGGAGCGAGATCTTCGCACAGTCAAGGATCGACTTCGCATATCATGCACCTCCATCGAGAGCCATATGCAAAAAGAAGTTAAGAATTGATTTAAAACGTTGTCAGTAAGGTCGATCTAACCAAAATCGCAGTGTCCGCTTCGGCATAGCGGGGATGTTGAAAACAAATTTCTCAGCTTGCGCCGATCCCGCATCCGGCGCTTTGCCCCTAGGAAAAATAGAAGGAAGACGAACTTCTTCTCACATTAAGTCAAAACCATCTACGCCACTGTGAATCCACCACCACTCGGTGATTCGATTAGAATCACAATTACTACGGCTAATGCTTTGGAATTTACTTCACAATTACAACCAATTATTGAAACGGTAGACTGAACATGAGGACGCCGCATATACAATGCATCAGTTTACTTTTTCCAAGTCCCACTTTTTAGAACAGTAATGATTTTCACAGTACGTATTTAAATCAAGTATAATAGAGACCAAAACATGCACACGCATGCATGAATTTAAAAAACGGTACCAGTTAATTGGAACTGTAGGGGCAGACTTCAAACTATAGTTCACAGTTGGAAGAGACTTAGAAGGCCAATCTCTAATTTTGCGACGAAAATAAACACGCTAGGAACGCATGGAAACAACGAAATAACAAAACGTTAAACTGACTAAACATAACAAGGTGCAAAACAATCAAGCTGATTTGTGAGTTCACAATGGAGGAAGCCGAGCTTCCGAGTGAAACTGTAACCGAGCACGAACACAGATCCGGTAAAACCCGCAACTTTTACAGCCCAACCGAACACTGCACCATTGCTACCAAATACTTCATTCAATTCAAACATACAGTATTTAGTATACCGTATTTAATTATGAGACAATTGAGACTCGAAACGTGAATAAACCCTGACGGAGCATACGAGAGACCACGCTGAAATTCAGAAGGGCTGAATATTTTCTATACACCCATATACAGTGCGGCTTCATATTGTCAGCTCAGGGGGCCCACATTAGAAAATTATGCAGGTGGGCTCTAATATCTTGTCTACAACGATTTTTTCGGTAAACGAATTCTTTTTCCTCCCACAGAGATTTGTTATCACATTATAGGAGTAACTAGAACTTGTATAATGTGATAAGAGATCTCTGTGGGAGGAAAAAGAATTCATTTACCGAAAAAATCGTTGTAGACAAGATCTGGTTCCTTGAAGTTTGTTGCAGAAAGTCCACCGGTATTCAAAAATTTTAACAAAGGTCTTTTAATAGATCCAGGAAAATTCAGTGCTAATAGTCAAATAATGGGGGAGCTAAAAAAAATTAGGACTGTTCAATCTATCGTAACATTTTCAAGGACTTCACAATGGGAATACGGTTCGACACATGATATGTGCTTATGCAAGGTCGTAACTCTTGCAATACAGGAAGCTACAGCAAGCTTCTGTAAGTGAAATTTTTCATATACAGTATAGTTGCGTATAGAACAGTATTTTATAAGCTGGGCATATGGGTTACACGGTTCGATAAGCTCAATATAATCATTTTGAGTGCGAACTCGCTCTTTGCGAACAGGTATTCCTTCGAATCACTAAGTGATTAATCAACACTATAATGAGGATATTTTCACTTCTTAAAATCGCATGAAAATGGGTACCTTGAAACTTGACGACCGAACGAAACGCTACGGCTTAATTAGGAATACCCTAAATTCACGAATGAACAAGCGGCAGATTATCATTACGAAAATAATCTAAAGCGAATTGCCCTGATCTCATACCGTAACCAGCATTAAACAAGGTCCCATTGAAGATCAGAACAAAAAAATGAGAATTACCCACGTTTTGCCCATGCAGTCGTACAGCTCTAAGCGTAACCCGAAAATGGTCCTGATGGTAAGGAACGACTCCGAGGATTTCGTCGGTAACACGACACCCGTTCCATCAGCTTCGCAAGCATTTCGGGTCGGACGCGGTGCGACGTGAAAAGAATCGTCTAAATTCTGCCGAAGTCCAAAACATGTGGTATTCATGAACTAATAAATTAACCCGAAACTGTCCTCAGTGCATCAATACACACCAGATTGTCCCGAACTTGGGCCGCGATTGGTAGTTTTGTGAACACGAGATCCAATTCAATGCCATCCAGCTTCAGTTTCAATACTGGCACATAAGCGTCTTCGATGCTAAAACGTGAAAACATGAATAATTAGCAGTTGAAACACGAATTATGCAAAACCATACGATCAAACGCGAACGATTACGTCCGCGGAGATTGCAAACACATATTGATCCAGAAATCACCTTTCTCGAAGGTTATCGAATACTTGAATCATCAAATACGTGAAATGATCCAGCACATCTTCATAATTTGACATTCCGTTCCCCCGCGGGTTGGTGTATACGCCTCAAAAAGAGGTGCGAAAATTAAATCTAAAGCAATTAAATCAAGGAACCTTTTTGAGAAGCGATGTTTCCCCACTTTTGCCCATCGGAAGAAAAAGGAAATCGGAAGACAAACATCCCCATGCAGAAGGACTTGTGCAAGACTTTCCCTTGGGGTTTATTTTTACGATGAGACATTCTTTCGGGGAAACGAGTAATTCACACCACGAAAACCGTGCGCGCACTGAATATGAGAAGCCATCGATAACAAGACAAATATTTTCCTACGCCCTCTTGAAAAATTTTCTGCACGACCAAGATACTGCAGTGGAAAACAACCTCCCATGGCATACAACTTCACCAACAGGAACTCCGCGGTCTTCTATTCATGCTTCAAGTATCTTCTTCATAGCATAAAATCACCCCTCGATAATAATTATAGACCCTTCAAACCGAAGATGACGAGTCGCGGGCATTCATTAAAGTAATTAAATGTACAGTATTCGAAAGACCAATTTCTTAAGAACCACCAAACCGGACATGAAATCCAACAAGGCTTTCACCATAAATTAGCATCCGGTATTTTAACAATTCAATTTTTGACCCTTGAAAAATTTCCAGCATGTTGCGAAATTGATGAGAATTTCCGGCTGTAATAGAAACTGCTTTACTTCTCATTTCTCAGTGCCTTGAAAAAAAGGTGGAAAACTGAAAAACGGCGAATGCATAGGACATTAGGGAATCGAAATTTTTTTTGTAAGAACGACGCCAGAAATAGTTCAATACGCGCGGAAGAGGGGCAATCCTCGCACTTATGAGATACTTACACTAGAAGTGAAACACATAAAGTCAGCTAATCATAGCATTCTTGCATAACCCTCTTGAAAAAATTAAATAAATTTGTTCTTTCACGAGAGACTCACCTTGATATCTGCAGATACACCCGACGTGGCTCGGAGGAATTCGACGAAACTAGTGAAGAAATCGGAACGCTCAACGTGGCGCGGGGAGACACACTGAGCATCTATATATCCGCCCCCGGGGTGTGAATGCCAAGCTTGAAAGAGCAGAACGGAATCACGCGGTTCCACCAGACCAGTTTATTAGCAAGTCCGGCAACCTCCGCTGCTTCGCCAAATCTTTCACCCATTCCTTGACGACTGCGCTTATCGCGAGACAAAATGTCGACTCTGAAAGACGAGATACCGAATGAAACTTGTCCGAAATTCAGATGGGGATAAAATAACTCAATAAGAACTCGCTCGACGGCATTCTTTCCCATAGCAATAACAATGCACAAAAGGGCAAGTACCACTTCCTCAACTTATCCAGAAAATTTTCGCTGCTTGATTTGAGTTCATTGAGGATGATGGAGATGTCCCTCTTTCCCCGCGATACGTAGCTCTAGAGCAAAACTTGCTCAATTGCTTTTGAGAAACATGTCACCATTTCGAAAAAAAATTTTCATGACTTCTATGAATACTTCTAAATGCTTTGACGAATTCCCTCCCAACCATACAACTAAAATATAAGCTTAGGCACTGATGACGGGGTTTCGATCGCAAGGATGTTTCATATAGTCCTCCAGGGAACATGATGAATAGTGAAAATGTACTCAGACGTTTCAGATGCTTGTGTATAGCGTTAATCACTTGAGGTTGGTATTTCGTTATACTCTGCTATGTAAGCAATT